ATTTATTTACTTACTTCATCTACCCTGCATTTCACCCCAAGGGGATTCAGAGCAGCTTACATCATTCCCCTCTCCAACATTTTATCCTCACAGCAACCTTGTAAGGTAGGTTAAGCTGGGGATATGTGACTGGCCTAAGGCCACCCAGCAAGATTTTTACATAGCAGAGCAAAGATTTGAACCTGGGACTCCCACAATCTAGCCCAGGGGTGGCCAGATTTGCTTAATGTAAGAGCTCATATGTTTGAGAGTCTCAAGACATGAACAAATATTGCACACGCGTTTTTACTGAAAAAAATATGCAAATTTGCTTTGTTAATAACATTAAATGAGACTGCCAAAAATAAAAACAAAAGGGGTAAAAGCAGTTATTGCTGCCCACGGCCCCGGGCCCCGTGACTGAGGAGCTCTCAAACCCTGAGGAAACCGTCCCCTCCTGGGACTTCAGCCCACCGGCTCCTGCCTGGCCCTCCTCGGGGGGGGGGGGGGGGAAGGGGAAAAAAGAGAGAGAGAGAGGGAGAGAGAGAGAGAGAGAGAGAGAGAGGTGGGGGGGAAAGCATATAAATGGGGAGGGAGGGAGGGAGGGAGGAAGGGAGAGGTGAAAAGAAAGCAACTTTAAATGTGTTCTCCAACACCCCCCCCCACGCCCCACACCAGCTGGCTTGGCTTGGAGAAGGGATTTAAAGAGACAAATGCCTTCTCGAAGCTGGTGGTGGTAGCAGGGCTTTGAGAATGCATTTAAAGTTGCTTTCTTTCTCTGCTCCCCCCCCCCACACACACACACCTCAAGCCTACCCAGACATTACTGTTGTGACCAAATTTAGGCTGGGGCACGATCCAAGCCAACATATGAAAACCAGTCTTCTACTGTATTTGCATTTTACAGCGGGTATTTGTTTATTATCCTTAAGACACTCGTGTGAGACTCTCAGTGGTCAAGAGGGGACAGAATATTTGCTGGTGGTGTTGCCTCTTTGTGTGTGCAGCACCCACGGAGGAAATGGTCCTTCTTCTCTGGAAGTGTACCACGGAAGTACCAGGCCCTGGATAGACTTGCCAGCTCCTGGAGATTTGGGGTGGAGCCTGGGGAGGGTGCGATTTGGGGAGTGGAGGGACCTCACCAGGTCATAATGCCAAAGAGTTCAACTTCTAAAGCATCCGTTTTCTCTGTGGGAACTGAGCTCTGAGACCTGGAGATTGGCAACCCAACCCTGTGAGATTTGCATCTTCCGGGCTAGCTGTCTTCAGCTTTGTAGGTTGTCACACCTGGGAAGTTGCAGTTAGCTCATAAACAGTAGCAGATTTTCCTGCACTGGGAACAGGTGGTGTCCCACCATAGGGCTTTCTCTACGGTTAGATGGAATAGTCTCCCCTCTGCTTTCGTGGGCCGTTATAGGAAGGTCCCAGGAGCAGAACGTGTCAGCCCATGTGGAGCTGGGAAGTTTGAGACGAATGAGCCAGGAAACTCGCTCAAAGACTATTGCACCCTTGTGCTTGAGAGGTATTCTGCCTGCTCCGAATATGAAATTACAAGGAAGTTGCCTTTAGAGGCAAATCCTCAACTCACACTCTCCTGTGCCAGATTTTTTGCAGCATGTTGTAGAATTCGCAGGGAATTAACACAGAATGCAGTCGAACCATACAATTTAGATGTTCTGTTCAACTGTAAAATTTGTTAAAAATCTGTGGTTTTAACTATCCACAGGCTATTTAGTGATTTTAGTGTTTTATATTTCTTAAAATTCATAAGGTTCATCTACATTGTTGTAATGGATTTTGTGCTGGTCACGGACCGTATTAATAATAATAAAACTTGCTTGCCCTGGGAACAGGTGCGAACATAGCCTGTTGCCACAAAGCCAGTATTTTATCCTCCTCCTGTGTTGCCTGATGGATCCTGGGCCAAACTGCCAGGGGCCAGAATTCGCAGATCAGTGGGAGGGCTGCCTCTCCTGCTTGGCATATTTGCTACTGGTCAGCCCCCCCCCTGCTCTTCCTGCAGCCCCTCCTTCCTTTTCCTTCTGGAAGGAAGAGCCTGGAACGTGGGCCCAAGCACCTGTGACCGGGCTCCAGAAGACAATGCCGCACGTCTCCCCGCGTCCTCTTAACTCCTGCCTCTTCTCTCGGATTCCTATTTTAGCTGCTTTGAAAGCCAGACTTGGCAGACAAGCAGAGTAGAATTATAATAATATCAACCCCCTCTTGTTAAGCTTCAGCAGCGCTCAGGGTGCCAGCAGGCCAATGACTGGGCCCTGCAGTTTGCTGAATTCCATTATCAAAAAGTCAGAATTTCTAAACGACTTTAAGTAAATCACTGTAGCCAGGACTTAAGCATCCTCACTGCGAAAAACCTTAAAATTCCGTGCAGCCAGAAGCTGAATCCAGGGACAGTGTGTATATTTTGCAAATCAAGCAAACGTATATGGTCTCACTTGGCAAAACTTACTCTCAGTTTTTACTATTGTAAGTAATATGTTCCAGCCTTGCTAGTCATGGGAAATGACCCCGGCCCCCCCCCCCCCCCACACACACCTCTGACCACTGCAAACCATAATCCCTCTGGTTTCTGCCCTTACCACATTCTTTGGAGCTCATCTTAAAAGCTAGAGGTTTGTGGATTTCTTTACAGGTGGATGCTGGGAGCCTCTGAAGACTGGATCCTGCATATTTTCCCTACCACATGATGTGCTTTTTCCTGCTTTCCTGTAAAATCGTGCTATCCTCTAGATTTGCAGTAGGTGAGCTCTTGTTTCTGTGATCTTTTGCAGCACCAGCCCCCCATACTGCTGTGTGGACCTTCACTCTTTGCGTACTGGAGAAATGGTCAAATCCATACAGTTCAAAACACCTATTTATGATCTCCACTGCAACAAAAGGTAAGTGCCACTATTTGGATTTCTTTTCTGCCCCACCCAGTCCTCAGGGCTGCAATATGTTTATAGCACTGCTGTATTTATTCATTTATATCCCATCTTTTTTCATCATGGAACTTAAGACGGTACACGTGAGGGTGCTCAAGAGGTCTCCCATTGGGGCACTGACCAGTCCCAGACCTATGAAATTTCAGCAGTGCTGCTGCATCACTGTCTTCCCAACCATACCCTGGGTCCTTGGCTCTGTTGACATAGTTCCTGTAGGGCACTGGCCAGGCTTCTCATCCATCTCCTTTGCTTCACATGAACTTTTTGTTGTTGTTGTTCAGTTGCACAGTCGAGTCCGACTCTTCGCGACCCCGTGGACCACATCACCAGGAGGCCGTTCTGTCCTCCGCCGTCCCCCGTAGTTTGCTAAATTTCAAGTTTGTTGCATCAATAACCCTGTCTAACCATCTCATCCTTTGCCGTCCCCTTCTTCTATTACCTTCAGTCCTTCCCAGCATCAGGGTCTTCTCCAGTGAATGCTCCCTTCTCATTTGGTGGCCAAAGTATTTGAGCTTCAGGTGTGCAGGTTTTTTTCTTGGTATTTTTTGGTTCAGGCCTATTTTGGGATTCCTGAAGAAGCCTGGATCCCATCTGGGATTTTTTGGAAATCCTGATTTTTTGGGGCGTCCAGTAGACTCAAACTGAAATACACTGGGGGGGGGGGGGGGGGGCGGGTAAGCAGTGGCAAATCCGCTAAAAAGAACTGAGAGGTGGCTTAGCTGGGGTTCTTTTGGGCGGTCCCTTTAACCCGAACTGACCAAAAGAGCTCACCAAGAAGCCCATCCTGCATGGAGAACTCTCCCCACAGGCTCTGCTGGGCACCCCAGTTTAGACTGACAATTCCTGAATACATCCAGGATTTTTTCGGGGAATTTTTTTTTTTTTTTGGTTCTCCTGAAAAATCCCAGTACATTTGGGAAGCCGAAATATGCTGTTGGGAGTCTAAATCCAATCTCCTCCTCCTCCATTAACTGTCTTGGTGGCCCTGATGAGGGCAGGGAGGTGAGGTATAAATTTTGAAAATAAAGACATTAAAAGGGAAGATTAGAAATCATGGCAATGGTTTTAAGAAACTTCCCTGCCGTTATTCCTCTCAACGAGAAATCTCTGGAAGCTTGTTAGGAATGTACAGTGAAGTCAGGCTGAGAGGGAGGGAGGGACTTGCCCCTAACCACCAAATGAGCTTCATGGCTAAAAACAGGGATTTGATTGCACCCATAAGGGCTGCTTCACACCCTTAAAATGATTAATGTTAAGCATTTCAATGTTCAAAGTGAACAAAGTTAGAATCCAGTGGCACCTTTAAGACCAGCAAAGTTTTATTCAAGGAGTGAGCTTTCTTGTGCATGCACACTTCTTTAAACACATGAAAGCTCACACCTTGAATAAAACTTCGTTGGTCTTAGAGGTGCCATTAGACTCTAACTTTGTTCTATTGCTTCAGACCAGCATGGCTGCCCACCTTGATCAATATTCAAAGTGGTTTATGTACATTATCAGGGTAATCCTTCTTACAGCCCTGCAAAGTAGGTCAGTATTGTTTGCATATTGCAGAGGAGAGAGGTTTGAGTTTGTGGCACAGAGGAAGGAGGAGCGGTATGGTGTTTTCTCTGTTGGCTTCCACTGCTCTGGGCCTGGGTACAAATGCTTCTGAATCAGGCTTGTCCCCCCCTCCGCCCCACAAAGCTTCTGGGGTTGTCATTGCACCTTCCTCATAGTTCTTGGGATATCTCTGCTTGTTCAGCCTGTAAGTTGCCCTCCTGGTCTCCTTATCCACCTGCGTGCCCGCCCATCCTGTTTTTCCCCCATATTTCTTCTCACCCCATTTGTTCAGACTCCTTTTCTTAGACCTGGGGTGTCGAACTCATTTGTTATGAGGACCAGATCTGACTTAAATAAGACCTTGCTGGGCCGGGCCATGTGTGTCATAAAATGTAGTGCCAGCTAGTGGAGATATAAACCTGCTTAAAACAATAGCACTCTTGCAATATTTTGTTTATTTAACAGTCTCTGATAACTGATATCTCTTCTTCTGAATTATTGCATCAAAATGTCTGTGCTGCAGCGATCTTGAGTATGCTTTTCAGGTCTGTATCTGTCAGCTACAAACCTACTTTTGATGTATTGACATTCATTACAGAAATCTTATGCTCAGTATTCTGAGCTTAGGACCCGGAGAAAACATGAAATAGCTGGGCATTGCGAGGTTTTGTATGTAAATTGCTTCATGTGCTGGTCAAGAACATAAGAGGGCATCCTGACAAAGACTGAGGGCTATGTATTTGTCTACAAAACTATAGTTTTCCCCAGAGAAATAACTACAACTCCTGTGGGGCAATGCAAGAATAGATAGACAGCAATGTATAGTGGTCAGTATCAGCCTATTATCTTGGAACTCTAGGTTCAAAATCCCCAGTCTAGAAAGGAAATGTGCTGGGTGAACTTGGTCTGGACACACACTCTCAACCTAATCTACCTCACTGGCTTGTTGTTGTTCCTCATCTAAATAGTTCACATTGCTTTCCTACTGAGAAAGACTGGATCATGAGGGCATGAATACAGTGGAAAGGGGGAGGGAACCCAGTTGCACCCAGGAGAACCCTGGCATAACAAGCCCAACAAAACACACACTGTAGCAAGGCACAGAAAAGCTCACACCTTGAATAGACCTTTGTGGGTCTTAAAGGTGCTTTGTATTTCTCCCGTGTGATTGAGGCAACTGAGAAAAGCAAGGCAGGAGGAAGGGGAGGAGCCTCAGCCAATGGAGGGGAAGAAAGGATTGCCTTTGTCTCCTGTGCAGTTGAGGCAACCTGGCCAGGAAGCAAGCTCTGGCTCATTCCCTCCCTCCTCCTGGGAGGAGGAGTGGGAGGAGTCTCAGCCAGTGCAGGGAACAGTGCCTATCTATCTCTCCTGTGTGATTGAGAAAGTCTGGTAAAGCAAGCTGCAACACAGCAGCAGCAGAAGTGGAGAAAGAAGCAGGAGACAGCCAGTTCCTTGCGGCCAGGTGGGAGCCCTCTGAGGGCCTGTTCCGGCCCGCAGGCTGCATGTTTGACACCCCTGTCTTAGACCCTTGCTGGGGGTCTATTGTGTATTGTTCTCCTGTGCTGGCTTGATGGATACCTCCTTGCTGCCCTGCTTCACCCCATCCTGCTTCCAGGATCTTGCACATTCTACTTTTCCTTGGCCCAACTGCTTATGGTCTGCCAGCAGCAGAAGGTTGCAGGGACATTCAGAGGGACTCTGTGGGTCTCCATAAAAAGATGCAGTGGGAATGCAGTATTGCGGCAGGATGTGTTAAAAAAAGAGAGAGACATCCTTCCATGTTGGAAGTGCAGAGAGGTCCCAGGCTGATATAGCCAAATTAAGAGCCCCACCCCATGGTTCTCGTTTTGCGGCATTGTTTAGACACAACCTGGCAGGCACCAGGAGACCCCGAGGATTTGAAGCGTCCAGCTGACCCAGTGTGTTCTCTGCCTGGCGTGACTTTGGGAGATTATAGTCATTGGTTCCGAGTAGCACTTCCTGCCCTTAGCAGGAACATGTGGTTTGCTTGCAAGCCCTGAATAGAGTTGCCAACCTCCAGTTGGGGCCTGGAGATCTCTCATTATACCCTGCTGAGGTCCCTCCCCAAACCCTGTCCTCTCCTGGCTCCACCCCCCAAATCTCCAGGTATTTCCCAACCCAGAGCTGGCAACCCCAGTGCTGAAGACCAGACAGAAGGTGGAGATTCTCCGGTGGTCCAGGAGTGGGGTAGTACTTGACTCCTTACTCCTGGGAAAGCACCTCCCCCTTCTGTAGGCAGGGCCGGCAAACTTTGATCCCAGAGGGGAGGGGCTTATCCTCTGATCCCCAGTCTTACCAGCCCTGCCTTCTGAGCAGGACGTGCTGGCTGTGCTCTGAAGAGCACGAAGATCCCAGAAGACACCGGAAGGTCAGAAGAAGAAGCGGAGACCTAAAGGGCAATGGGAGAAGGTACTTACCTTCCAGCCCTAAAACATATTCGAGAGCTGCAGGCCTCCAATTACAATGGATCCAGCGTCGGCAGTCCTGGGAGGCCCCCAAGTGGTCACGGCGGCAAGAGGAATGCCTCGGACCCCGCTGGGAAGGTGGCGGTAAACTGCTCTCCCCCCCATCCAGCTGTGGCGGCGTGCAGCAGTTTTGGGGACAGACGCCCAGTGAAGAGCCTGGGGAGAGCAGAGGCAAGAGAGGCGGCCGAGGGTGGTGCAGAATCTCTGTCGCCGTCCCTTTCGGCATTGGAATGGAGCCCACTCCTTGTTCCAGATCGTGGTGAGGAGGGACGTGTCTCCTGCGCAGTCTACCCGGTCGGCTGAACCACGGTAGGACTGTATCCATTGAGAACTGGCAAGGTGTGGAGGGGGAGAGAGAAAGAGGACTATCCCCCCCTCCAGTTTTCTTTCTTTTACAGTCCTTATTGCTGGCCCTTCGGGAAAGGGAGCAACAATAGACAGCCTACTTCTTCCCCACCG